CAGATCTGTGCTTATCTGGAAGCTGTTTCCCTGAGCACGCTGGACAAACACAGCTATACTCACATAGCCAAGTGCTGGCAGGGCCTGGGGCTGGCTCTGAGAGCCTCTCACAATGACAGGGGTGGAGATGCTAGAGAGGTTCTAGGGAAAAGGACCTTCTTACTGAGGGCTTTGAGTCCCTACTGTGGCTTGGGAGTCAGCCCAAGGTCTCCTGCCAACAACGTGGATGCTATTCTGGGAGAATTCTAAGGCTAAGAGAAACACGCATGCTTCCCTTTCTCCTTCTCAGGACTGCTTTCTCTCTTCCGTATTTGAATCCCCATACTATCTGTTCAGTCAGCTTGGGCTGCTGTAACAAAATACCGTAGACCAGGTGGCTTAAACAGCAGGTGTTTGTCTCTCACATTTCTCGAGGCTGGAAAGCCCATGGTCAGGGTGCCAGCCTGGTTGGATCTGGTGAGGGCTCTTTTCCAGGTGTGCAGGTGGCTGCCTGCTGTAGAGAGAGGCGCGTGTCTTTCTGTGTCTCTTCTCTCTCTCTCTCTCTTTTTTTTTTATAAAGAGGTTTTTTTGCCTTAGGGTGTGTGCACTTGCTGGAGAGAGAGAGAGGGACAGAGACAGTGAGAGGGAAAGTGAGAAATCACCCCCTCCCCCAGGGGTATGGCCATGCTGCAATCCCTTTTCTTCCATTCTCCTCCTGGGATCTTGGGCACATATGCACACATGCCTGGTGTGATTTTCAAGCCACCAGGTCCGAAACTTGAACTGTGGTCAGCCATTTGAGCATCCAGCAATGGGACTGCTACACCATCTGCTGGCCCCTCTGTGACTTTTCTTACATGGGCACTAATCCCATCATGGGGTCCCCACTCTCATGATCTTTTCTGATTCCTGTCACCTTCTAAGGGCCTCATCTTTAAATACCATCACATTTGAGGTTAAGGGCTTCAAAGTATAAATTTTGAGGGGGCACAGTTCAGTCCATATAGTATATCTTTCCTGGGGTCACTGTTGTCTCAGAACACTTGCAGACCCAGCCAAGCCGGTACAGTCTGTAGCATCCCGGACTGCAGGACTGCAGTGCAGGAGGCTTCATTGCAGATCACAGGTCTGGACCCCTGGGTTGGCCTGGAAACGTGCCAGACACACACGTGGGCACCCAAGATCCTGATGAACTGGGGTCTGAGGAAGGGGGATCATGGTGTGATGAGATGCTGTCAGAGGTGCTTCTCTCTTTCTCATGCATGTGCATATATTCTCTGTCATTAAAGAAAAACAAAACACTTCCGGTGTCTCCATGTATCCCATGGACTTCTGGAATGAAAAGATACTGAATGCCCTTAAGAGCTCTTGAGGAGGGGGCGGCAGGCGGCGTGGTGGTTAAAGGTGCTGGATTCCCACATGGCCGACCGTAGTTCGAGTCCTGGACCTGGTGGCTTGCTTTCTCACTTTCTCTCTCTCTCTCTCTCTCCCTCTCCGGTCAAATTGAAATAAACAAATGAATAAATAAATAAAGTTAAATAAAATAATTCTTAAAAAAAATAGGAGCTCTTGAGGAGGCTCCTTTCGCTGCTGTGTAGAAGGCCTGGCCCACCACAGCTGTGGTGCTGTCGGCTTTCTGCACTCACAACAGACCTTCCTGTTCCATTGTGGCAGGGCAAGCTGGAAGGACCTGGGCTCTCAGTTGGTCTTTAGGCCTTGCCCATCACGGTTCTGGCACCTTCCTTCGTACATCCATCCTGAGGTTTCCCTCTGTAAATATGGCGCTGCTAATGCTCATTCACAGGCTGTGCTCAGATTTAAGGGGGTGGTGTCTCCGAGGAACTCTGTGTCAAGCTGGCATGTAGCAGGAGCTTGGCGAGTTGGGGACACTGTCACCCCTGAGATGTGGTGGGGAGCCCTACCCAACAGTCTTCCAGGTAATAGCTCCATTCAGGGATTAAGGTGAACCCAGGTGTGTTGCTGACTCTGGCTGACTGGATTTCCCTTTGACTGTGGTCTCTCTCCAGTTAGTGGCCGTTTGGAAGTGAAGAAGCCCTATGGGAGCCCTGTCCTTTGACCCCTTCTTCCTGTCCTGGCCATAGTTCCCAGCTCCCAGGCATCTCTGCCTATGGCCTGTGGAGGCTGCAGCCAGCCCTCACTGGGCCTGTTGTGCTCTTCACCTCATGTGCTCGATGTTATCCCTGTCCTTTTTCTTCTCCAAGGGAGTGAGAAAGGAGAGCAGGACCTTTACCAAAGAGACATGACTAGGAGGGTCCATGTTTCAATTAGCTTTTCACTAGGCATCCCCTTTTTATTTCCTCACCACCATTTTCCCTTGTTTCTCTTGGAGCAAGTGGACCTCACTGTGTCCCATTCACTGAGTCTGCTGGGGACAGGAATCTGAGCAGTGAGGACAGCGGTGGACACAGTGCCCTCTCAGGACAGTTCACACTGCTCCCTAGTGATGGATCGATGCCCTTCTCCTTCTAGTTTCAGCATCTCTGTGTTGATGTATCTGCCCTTTCTCTGGCTCTTCCTCCAAGCTGCCTTGTTACAGTTACTGAGCTTCCCTCTCTCTGGTAATAGGCCAAGGCCCAGATGTCTCCTGGAGTCTTCTCTTGCCTTCTTCTTCCCAATCCATCCCATCATCTCTGTCTCTGCACTCCCCTACCCACCTCCTTCCTGCCAGCTGGGCTGAGAGCCTCCCAACCAAGAGGCACTTGCTAAAACTGTTAGGTCAAGGAGTCATCTGCTTAGAAACCCCCAGGGTACTTCTGGGGCTTCTCCTGCACTTGGCCCAGCTTGGTCAGATTACCTGACATTCAGGGAATGTGACCTTTGTGGGAAGAGAACCCACATTTAGCTAAGTGTGTAGACTGGGGTCAGGCAGATACTGCCTCTGTTAACTGCTGCACTTTCCTGCAAACATGCAGGTTCATTCACCCAGCTCAGGACTCCAACTAATACAGTTAGTGAATAGAGGCTTTCAAAATGTGGATGAAACTAGTTTTTTTCCCCCTCCTCCTTCCTAAAGAGGAGGAAAGGATTTAAAACTTAGAAAAGGAATATATTGTGAAGGACATATTAGCCAAAGATCAAAGGGATTTAGGGGTGGAAAACTCAACTTGTTTTAGTTTTAGAAAAATATTTTTTTTGAACTTGACTTCCAAGATGGTTTAGGAAAAAAGAACATGTGCTATTTGATTTGATTCCATTTTCCTGTGTTGGAATTAGTAATGCATTTACACTACCCACAATGATTCTGTGAAGTATTGGGTAATTAGGGCATTAAGCATCTTCCCAGGATACATTATGATTCCACGAATAAAAAGCACTTCAAGTGTCAGATGTAATTAGTGAAATTCATGTGTCTTAATACCAGAGCATTTTAGGTGGTCAGAGCTGGTAGAGTTGACCAAGTCCATTTCATGAAGTTGACACCAGGTTGATCATACACGTGGGGTGCAGAGGGCTTATTTAATTATAGTAAACCCAGAAAAAAGCCTAATTCATACTTGTCTAAGTAAAAAAAGTGCTTATTGGCTTTTGTAACTGAAGTGTTCAGGGCATGGCAGGCCTCAGGTGTAGGTGTGCAGGACCTGGTCTCTCTTGTCTTTTGGTTCTGTCTCCTTCCCTCCTCTCATCTCCATAATATTTGCTTCATTCACTTGCTCGTCAATATGTCCACCAGCAGCACTGAGCCTCTATCCCTCCAGGTTTCATTACCTTACAAAAGAGAGTTACTTAGATCTTTCTCAATAGTTCACCTATGTGTCCCCATAGCTGCTCTGAACAAGTCCACCTCGATCGTGGGCAGGGAGGTGATATTATGCATTTGGTGTCTTTTTGTCCTTTTGATAATAGACATTTTAACTGGGGTGAGATTATGTGCATGTGTGTGTGTGTGTGTGTGTGTGTGTGTGTGTGTGTGTTTTATTGCCAGAGGTATATGTGCTTGAAAGAGAGAGAGAGAATGCACCCTCCAATGGGGCATGGCCATGCTGCAATTTCCCTTTCTCCACTTCTCCATCCCGACAGGATTTTGGATATGCATGCACTTGTGTTTTTCCAGCCACCATGGCTGGGACTTGAACTGTGGTCAGTCATGTGGGATCTGATTCCCAATGCATAGAGATTATCTGCTATGCGATGGCCCATTCTCATTGTGGTTTAATGTGCATTTCCCTAATGATTAATGATGCTGAGCATTTTTTTTTCCATGTTTGTTGGCTATTTATATGGCTTCTTCTTCCTTTTTAGGTTTTGCCATAGGGCATGTGCGTTTCCCAGAGAGAGAAAGAGAGGGATAGTGAGAGGGGAAGTAAGAAATCACTCCACAGGGAGATGGCTATGTTGTAATCTCTTCTCCATTCTCCTCTTAGGATTTTGGGCATGCATGCACACACACTCTGCATGATTTTCAAGCTGCTATGTCTGGGACTTGAACTGTGCTTAGCTATGTGGAAGTCCAGCCAGTCACTTGGACTGACTCTAGGGGAGAAGGGCTTCCCGGAGTAAAATTGGGGTTTTGTGGCTAGAAGAGGGAAGGGATGCTGACCTGCAGACATAACAAATGTACCTACATTTGAGTTCTGTCTTTGTAATTAGTCACCCTTGTCTTTCTAAATATCTCTGCTCAACTTACCCTACCTCCTTCCCCAGTTGTACTCGTTTTCCTCTTCCTTGTCAGTAACACTTCTCCAGGTTTTATACAAGATCAAACAAAGCACTTGATGGTTGACAATCACTGAATTCTCATGGCAACCTTATGAAGTACTATTAGACATGAGGCAGCTTGGATTTGAACTTCGGCCATCCCTCTTTCGCAGGGTGTGGTGTCTCCAAGAGTTTGACCCATGAGCCATGTCTGCCAGGCAGCGAGGGGGGAAGGACAAGGAAGCTTGTCACATGTGGGACTTAGGTAAAGCTCAGAGAGCTGAGTGGTGTTTGGCCAGTGGGTTCAATTGTCATTAAATTGTTGGCTATTGCTAATAATGACTTGTATTGTCTTTTTTTTCCAGTGTGGAATAATTTATTGGCTATTTGGTGGTGCAGTCAGTAATCTTGGAAGCCCCAAACACGTCACTAAGTGGTTGCAGCCACTCCAGGTATGGTGCGTTTCTCACTGGATGTATTCTATGGAGAGCCTTAAAAATATATAGTAGTTGGGAACCAGCAGTTAGCGTAATGGCTATGTCTCTGGACTCCCACGTAGTCAACCGCGGTTCATGTCCCGGACCCGGTGCATGCATGCCCAAGATCCCGAGAGGAGAATGGAGGAGAAGGGATTGCGGCGTGACCATCCCCCCTGGGGGATGATTTCTCACTTTCTGCCTCTAATGTCTCTCTCTGTCTGGCGAGCGCACGTGCCCTATAGCGAAAACCTCTCCAAAAAAAAAAAAATCCATAGTAGTCAGATATTTGCATGTGTGTGAAGAAAAAGAAAATAAAACAGATCATTTGTGTCAGCAAAAATCTTTCTGAGAGTGAGAATTTTAAGACTATCCTTTTTATATTGCTTTGCATCTGTCACATTGTTAAACTCGTTGGCTTAGCACACTTAGCAGACTGCATTTTTGTAGTCATCTCCAGCTCACCTCTCCTTCTCTTACCAACAATCCTGAAGTTAGAGCGTCCATCTGCCTGCTAATTCCCCTCTACCCTCTGGTAATTTTAGGAGCAGAAGTACACTGGGATGTTTGCAATGACTGAGCGCGGCCATGGGAGCAACGTCAGAGGGATCCAGACAGAAGCTACCTTTGACCTTTCTACACAGGTGAGGATTCTGTCCATCATTCCACACTTCAGGGCAGCAGGACACCTGTACAGAACCAGACTTGCATTCTTCCTGAGGCTGGCTTCACACCCTCCATGTGTGCTCTCTGGCCTGAGGAGCTTAGGTTTAGAACAAACACCCCGTGTTTTAGTAGAGGTGGATACGTGCTCAGCCTGCGTGAGTCCAACACCAACCAGCATTTCTCGTATGGCAGCTTCAGTGCACCAGGCGCTGTTCCTCGTTCTTTACAGGCGCTTGGCCACTTAATCCCTTGTATTAGTATCTACTCTATTAGAGCAGTACTAATGCCATCTTGGTCCTTTCCTAACTGCTGTGGTTTGCATCTGATCTCTTAATATTCATGTGTTGACACTTGGTGATGAGATTAAGAGGGTGAAAACTTAATCAAATGATGATTTTTGAAAGGATAATATGTATAGTGTTCTCATTTAAAAATGAGACTAAATAATAACAATCTGAAAAAAATGATGAAAAGGTATTTGATGATGATGACATGGATAGTATGTCTTTGTCTTGACTGATGTGCATGGTAATCGTCTTAGAAAAAGAAATGTAACACACTGTAAAGATATATGTGATTAAATGTAATACATAAAAACTTTAAAAGGAAAGTAGGACCTCTGGAAAGCAATCGGGATTAAGGTTATCAGGGTGGCACCTGGTAGACTTATAAGGAGAGGGAATGAGACAGGAGACACGTGGACACAGACTCACGCCCTCCCACTTTGTTCTGTCTTGCCTGTGACCCACCAGTAGCAAGGTCCCAGCAGATGTAGCGTGGGCCTTGGATTTCCAAACCATGAGCTGCATAAACGAATGTTTTTATAAATTACCCAGACAGGGTCAGCAGGTGGTGTGGAGTTAAGGTGGTTGGATCCCATTTGGCTGATTGCACAGTTTGAGAACTGGGCCCAGCGGCTTGAGAAACATACTGGGCATATGTGTGTGTTTGTCCAAAATCTCAAGAGGAGAAGGAGGAGGACAGATTTTGGCATGACCTTCTCTCTCTGTTGAGCCCATGTGCCCTATAGCAAAATAATGAAAAAAGTACCCAGACTTAGGTCTTTTCTATTATTGGTGACAGAACAGACTAGAACACATGTAGCAGCTAAAGGACTAGAAAAGATGCCTTGGTTGGTGCTCTCCATTGTGGCGTACAGCAGGTGGGCACGGTGCGTGGGGTTTCCTTATCAGGACCTCAGTCCCCTGTACTGGAATCACGCAGAGTCCTTTGCTCTGACCTGCACTGTTCACATAACAACTGAAACAAAAGCTTTACAAAGCAGTCTTCCTTTTTCTACCTTTACCACCTGTGGTGAACTGTGCTATTTTTTTCTTCCCATTCCTTTCTTTTCTTCCCTTCCTGTCCTTTTTTCTTCTCTTTGTTTTTCTCCCTTTTCCTTTCCTTATTTTCTTTTTTTTTTAAGAGAGATTTTTGTGCATATGTTTGCTCAGAAGACAGACAGAGACAGAAAGAAAGAAAGTGAGAAATCACCCCCAAGGTGGGATGGCCACGCTGTGATCCCTTCTCCTCCATTCTCCTCTCAGGATCTTGGGCATGCATGCACACGTGCTCAGTGTGAGTTTAAGCCACTGGGTCCAGGACTTGAACCACAGCTGACTATGTGGGAGTCCAGCAATGTAACCATTACACCATCTGCTGGTCTCTCCCTTTCCCTTTTTTTTTTTTTTTTCAGGGAAATTTTTGCTATAGGGCATGTGAGCTCACCAGAGAGACAGAGACAAAGAGACAGAAAATGAGAAATCAACCCTCAGGAGGGACAGCCACTCTACAGTCCCTTCTCCTCCAGTCTTCTCTTGGGATTTTGGGCACACACACACATGTCTGGGATATCTTAAGCTGGTGGGCCTGGGACTTGAACTGTGGTCGATTATGTGGGAGGCCAGCAACGTAACCATTACGCCATTCACTGGCCCCTCTCCCTTTCCTTTTAATTCATTAAACAATGTTGGTCAATACTTGAAAAGTTGATATCCATCTCCATAATGGGTTGCAAATCTGCACTGTGAAAACTCTACTTTGAAACCCTCAACTTCCATCTCTTTAAGTCCTATTTGCTTGGAAAGAAGGAAGCAATCTCTATTTATTTCACTTCCCTGTATGTTTTTTTGTTTGCTGTTGGCGAGTCCTAAGAGTTGCAAAGGATAAGTACATTCTGAGGTTTCCCCTAGCACTGAGACTTTGAATAAGCGTGTGCACGAGCAGAGGTGTGGGTGTTGTGTGGCTGTTTGACTACCCAGTCTGTTCTTCATTTTCACCAAGTTTGTCCTTTAGAATCTGGACTTTTGTTAGCAAGGTTCCTGAGCCCCAAATGCCAGTTGGAAGTGGCCAGCGTTTAGAATGACAGATTCAGGTGAGGATGTTAGTTCTCTACAGTAGCCTGTGAAGCCCAAGGTCATATAAGAGCAAGAATAAGCACTGGCCTTTGTTGCTCACACCCTCGGTACCTGCAGACTCCCTCCGGGTAGTGTTATAGACTAATTAACATGCTGTACCCTCTCCACAACAATCCCATAGGCACATTAAGCTGTCTTTAATTGAGCACTTCTGTACTTGGCTAAGTGTAACATTGTGGCTAATGGCCTATAATCTTATAGGAAGGTGTTCTTGTTCCTGTTTGACAGATGGGGAAACAGGCTCACAGAGGTTAAGAAACTGTCACAATCCCTTCTCCATTCTTTTCTTGGGATTTTGGGCATGCATACACACGTACCCAGTGTATTTTCTAAGCTGTCAGGTCTAGGACTTGAACAGCACAGTTGGCCACGTGGGATCAGCTGCCTTCACCCCCTGGCTGGCCTGGGACTGCCCCCTGAACACCTTGGTTTTTCTGCTAGTGAAGGCAGACTAACCTAACATCTTTTGGCTTTTGGCTGGTTGCTTTTTCTCCCCAAACCATGGTATTAAGGTCACCTTGCTGTCATTAATGGAGGAGAAAAACCACCTACAATTCTTATTTATTTGTTTCTTTTTATAATTATTTTTTTCCACAAAAATAATTTCCTGTGTTGGTCCCATTTTCCCCAAACAGTTTAAGTGGTTTAGCTACCTGGTGTGCCCCAACAGCTGCCGTGCTCTGACAGGGGAGTTGCAAAGTTGAAATCATAATGATGAGAAGCCTCTGGTGAACATTCTGTCTCCCGTGGGGGTGGGAGAGAGAACGAGCCCATCATAAACTCACGCCACCAAAACTGACATAGCAGGGAATGGATTTCTCCCTTCATTGGGCTCAGTGCTTTCCCCTTCATTTCCCTTTTAAAATGTTAGAGCATATCAAATGAGCCTTCTCTCCCCCAAGGACTATTTCAAGCTCTTACTTTTTTTTTTTTTTTTTCTATTCATTCCTGTGGGCTGGTTGTTTCATTTTTATTTTTGGAGGATGGATTAGAAAGCTAAGAGATAAGAGTTATTTTTACCCTGTATGCTAAATAACAAAAATGAATGAGCTATGAACTCTCTGGCCAAAGCCATCTTTTTTTTTTTTTTTTTTTTTTTTTTAGCATTTACAATACTGCCTGTTTTGATGGCCTTCAACAAATAATTATAGTCGTAAGTGACACACATGGTGTGCGTTATTTGGATCCAGCGTTAACTCCAGCGTTTTGGCTGATGAGAACTTTCCAAATCAAGTATCTTGCCAGAAGTGACAGACTCCTTCCGAAGGGCATCGGATGTTTGCAGGGACTGGTGGCCTCTTGCTATCTCCCTTGCCCCGCAGATCTTTCCTGCCAGATCAGTGCAACCTCTTCTACTGCCCTTCCTTCCCTGAGGCACAAAGCACCACTCCCTCCCCGCCACAGGTTGTTGTTTTGTTGTTCTTTTCACTACTCCCAGCCTTAAGTAACTCCTCTCTTTAAGAGGTCTCTGGCCCAATAAAGCCCCCAGCGATTTCCCTTGAAAAGATTCGGCTTGTCCATTTATGTTTCTGAAAATCCCTTGCACATGTTCAAAGTTTCTCTGTGCAAACATGTCAGAGAATGTTTTCTTAGGCTTCAAGACTGTATTTCTTGGCCAGAGGGAGCATGTAGTCTATATAGTTTATAATCTGAAATCTGAGATAATCTTTGTGATCAATGGCTTGTTGGTTTAGTTCAGCCACATCTTCAATATTGTCCACTCCAATTAAATTTGCAGTTCAGTGCTTTGCCATTTTCCTCTCCTGTCCCAGGTACCCAGTATTCGGAGCTGGCAGTGTGGTCAGTCACTCCTGGGTAAGAGGTTTAAGGGTAGCTCAGGTGGCAGGCGAGACTGGGGAGTGCCAGGAAACGAAGGGCAGCATTTCCTTTGTGGTCTCTGTATGGCTTCAAGAGAATAGGAAAAAAGAAGACTGAAGTTTGAGCTGAAAATAAAAAGTCTGCATTTTTTTCTGTTTCCTTGACCAGTGCTAGCTTCAGACTATTGGAGCTAGAATGATGGGTCAGACTCAGAGACAAACTGGCACATTCAAAGAATCTTTCCCTCATGAGATAGACTTGTTTGCAAGTCCTTCTGCTTTAAGGAATTGGATGTGTGGATCTTTGGGGAGAAACTTTAATTATTATGTTTATTGGTCAGAAAGTGGAGAAGAAGTTTCTGAAATACCATTCCAAAGGCTTAAATGAGAGATTTCTTTTTATAAAAATCACAATGGCTTGAGCTGATAGTTCATGCGATCGTGAGAACAGAGCATAGTTACCTGTTAGTCTTGTCAGGATCTGAGCATATAGTTTTAGCCTTTGGTGAATTGGTTACTGTTTAAACAAAGACCCATGTCATAGAAGCAAGGAAACCATGGAGGGTGTAAAGAACAACAAATCTCTTGATTTGCCCAGAAGGAGCAACTACTACAGATCAAATGAAACACACAGATACGTACCTTGAAACAACTCAACTAGGGTCTGGATCATTGAATGTGTTATCTTTTCTTGGGAACCTTATAGGTGGGATATTTGGGGAAGAGGTTTGTTGAAAATTGATTATATACCACTAGGGCTTTTAGGGATTTGGGTACTAGATTATTATTATTATTATTTTGGAGAGGTTTTTCGCTATAGGGCACGTGTGCTCGCCAGACAGACAGAGAGAGACATAGAGACAGAAAGCGAGAAATCACCCCCCAGAGGGGATGGTCACGCCGCAATCCCTTCTCCTCCATTCTCCTCTCGGGATCTTGGGCACGCACGCACACGCACCCGGCGTCAGTTTAAGCCACCGGGTCCGGGACGTGAACTGCGGTTGACTATGTGGGAGTCCAGCGACATAGCCATCACGCTAACTGCTGGTTCCCATGGTACTGGATTATTTTAAAGTCAAACCTCTATATAGAGTAGGGAGAAAGATGTTGATAACTGAAGAAAGACTTTGTACAATAAAGTCTGGCAGGCTTGGCCAAATATTGGATTGCTGGGAAAGTCATGATGCATTTTTGCATAGAAAAACAGAAAAATACATAATAACTTTTCCAACAACTCAATAGCACACACATTATCCCAATGGTCTGAAGAAGTCAAACTGGGCAAGAGTGAATGAACACTTTATTTTTTATTTTTAGATTTTTGCCATGGAGTGCATATGCTTGCCAGTAAGACAGAGAGAGAGAGAGATGGAGAGAGAGAAAGTGAGAAATCACCCTCCAGAGAGGATGACCACACTGCAGTACCTTCTCCTCCATTTACCACTTGGGATTTTGAGTATGCACACACATGCGCCTGGTATGATTTTCAAGCTGCCAGGTTCAGGACTCAAACTGTGGTTGGCCATCTAGGAACCCTGTGCCCTAACCCCCATGCCACCTGGTGGCTCCAATGAAAACCTTTTATTGACTGAAAACTAGCAACTTATTTTTCTGATTGGATTATCCATTGAAAAAATCACTTTAATTTCCAAGCATTTGGAAACTGAGGTGGAGATGATTCAGCTGACTTCACAAGGTTGAGCCAGCTGATTTCCAGCTGTCTCCTTTGCTGTGAAATCCCCTGAGCAAAGTGCCCTGCTCTGTCTGGATCCGTTTGCACAATAGTCATTGCATTGAGCCAGGAGTTGAAATGAGCCATTCGAAGGAAATGCTGTGATCTCCACTGTTTCTGTGTAGGAGTTTGTGATTGACACGCCATGTGAGGATGCTGAGAAGATGTACATCGGAAACGCGATGCATGGCAACTATGCAGCAGTCTTTGCCCAGCTCATCATAAGTGGGAAATCTCAAGGTGCGTCACTGACACAGAAGACTAGAATAATTCTCTTTACTATTGCTGTTTTCCAGTGAGTACTTTACCTGAAAACCCGCTTCACAGGCTGTTTTTATTTTGTAAAAAAATTAAGTATTGGGTGGGAATGTAAACTGGTTCAGCCACTGTGGAGAGCAATATGGAGGTTCCTCAAAGATCTACAAATAGAATTACCATTTGATCCAGCAATCCCACTTCTGGCTATCTATCCAAAGGACAGGAGAACGCTCATTCAGAAGAGTGCTTGCACATCAATGTTTATTGCAGCATTATTCACGATTGCCAAGACTTGGGACCAACCTAAATGTCCACCAACTGATGAATGGATTGGAAAAGTGTGGCATAAATACTCTATGGAATACTACTCAGTCATAAAAAATAACAAGACACTGGCATTTGACAGAAAGTGGTCAGATATAAGTGGTCAGATATGAAGGATCTATTGCTGAGTGAAGTAAGCCAGGCTAAAGAAAGATATTGTATGTATCCACTTAATATATACTGACTTTCCACACTCTATAGTAGAGAGCGAAATATTGGAGGACATAAAAACAATGAAAATACTTAACGAGAATAAGACAGTGTGGAATGGGGGGATAAAGAGAAGAGGATAGAGAAAGATAGCAAGAGAACAAATAGAGAGGCATGACATTAGTGGGACACAGATATGGCTTATTATGTTGATGATGACGTGTATAGTATTCTCAACTGGATTAGTCTGAGAAGTATTTCATGATGGGTAAAGTCTTTTTACAAGCAAAATGAGAAATAGTGATCGACTGGTTAAAAAATAATTGGAATAATAATAATGAATGGGAAAAACAATGAAAAGATATTGAATGATCAAGTGGGGATTTTAATGTCTTGGTATTGACTGACATGCATGACATTCCCTTTTGAAAAAGCAATGTAACACACTGTAAAGTTATATGTAATTCAATGTAATATAAACAAGATTATGATGATAAGAAAGAAAGAAAGAAAGAAAGAAAGAAAGGAAGGTAAAGTATTGGGGCCAGCAGATGGCGTAGTATCTGGATTCCCATATGGCCAACTGTGGTTTGCTTTATTCGTATTGTTAGATAGTTTAAAAGTAACCCTTTAAAATTTTATTTATTTACTTATTTATTTAGAGAGAGAGAGAGAGAGGCAGAGAGAGAGAGAGAGAGAGAGAGAGAGAGAGAGAGAGTATGCCCAGTGGGTCTTTCACACCGTGATCCATTTTCAACCTCAGCAGCTGGGATCATGGGCAAGTGTGCACATACCTGACGTGTATAGGGAAGTCCTGGGATGTATTCTGAGTATCTTGCCATGCTGGTCTAGTTGTGTTTCTGCTGAGCCATTATCTGGCCCCTAGAGAAGAGAGTTTAGTAATGATTTGTATGCCTTCCTTAGGGCCCCACTGTTTCATCGTTCCCGTCCGGGATGAAAATGGAAGCTTGTACCCAGGAGTGACAGCTATTGATATGATGTACAAAGAAGGTGGGTTTCCAAGGCACAGCTCTCCTACACTCATTTATGTTTCCTGCCTGCTCTGGCCCACTCAAGGACAGTCTGACCTCACCAGAAGAGCGAAGGTGGAGAAAACGTTCCCTAGAGAGCGCACTATGATTTTGAAGCCTAATTCAACCTTTTAGGTAGAACCATTAGAGAATGTTGCAGATTGCCATTGATGCACGTGCATTAGTCTCCTTTCCTTCCAGCTTCTTGAATTTCCTAGGGGTGAGGCAGGATTGCCCTGAATGCTATCCCCTCTCCTCTCTCCTTAGCTCTGTGGGCTCTCAGCGTGCAGGTGCAGCTCCCTCTTCCTCCTCTTGGCCACTGCCTGGTGCTCATGTTCATGAGGCCCTTGCTGAGTCTGGAAGCCTGACTTTGTCAGCTTGGTATGGTCACTGTACTGCTCACTGGGCTGAAACCACACAAGTTCATTGTCTCATAGCTTTGTAGGCCAGAGGACCAAGATCGAGTACCAGCAGGTTTGGTTCCTTCTAAGGGCAAGGAGGGAAAGATCTATTTCAGAACTACTTATCTCCTTGGCTTGTCAATGACTGTCTTCATGCTAACACCACGTTCTCCCTGTCTGTATATCTGAGTCCAAGTTTCTTCTACTTTAAAAGACACCAGTGATTTAGATTAAGGCCCACCCTAATGACCTCACTGTAATTTGATTACTTCTACAAGACTATCTTCAAAAAAGACCACATTCACAGGTGTGGGGTCAGACTTCGACATGTTAATTTCAGAGGTGGGGAGGTGTAAGTTAATCGTTTTACTTCCTGAGAGCAGGCCATGCCTGTGGCCTCCACTGGCTGTCCTTGGCCAAGGTCAAACCAAGCCAAAGAAAGGAGTCTGGAAGAGACCTGGAAAAGAGAGGGAGTGAGAGAGAGAGGAGAGAGAAGAGAGCAGGGGAGAGGAGGAAACATGGTCTTCCTTTGGTGGAGGGGCATGGTCTCCCCCTGCCCCTCAGGTTTTACCCACAGCAGCAGCCGTGGTGGGCTGCAGGGAGGTTTGCGAGGGTTTTAATGGATCTCCCAGGGGAGGCTGAGGCCCTGGCTGGCCCCAGCCCTTGAACGTGCCTCACATGTCAAGTGTTGTTGAGAGCAGAAGGAGAGGCCGGGCTCCTGTGAAGTCGAGCCAGAGGCTGAAAACCCTGGCAACTGAGAAAGCCCGCTTTGGTTTCCTTGTAAAGCCCCTAAGTGCAAGTGTGTCCTTGTCAAGGGGTGATGTTCTAAATAAAGGCATTTACGAAAGAAAGACTTTTTCCCAGATGAAATCTCTCCACGTGTTTATGAACGAAAAGTAGACCCCAGACTCTGACAGGTGTCCCTAGGAAATGGGTCAGGGCAGATTTCAGAAGTGCCCGCTCCGTGCTGCCCTTGTGGCTATTTTTCCTGGTCTTGTAGGCATCTGTTTCCACCAGTTCACCCTGCTGCTGGGGAGGATGTCCCGGGGTAGGAGGGGACACTTGTGTTTCTGCATTCCTGGGCAAAGTAAGCTGGCCTCCCTGCTGTGTATGTCTCCAGCTTTCCGTTCTTCCAGGTACCTCGAATGCTCCCTTTCTGTTTGTTTGCTGTTGACATAATAATTGTGCACGTCTGTGGGGTACAACGTGCTCATTCAGTACCGGAATACAATGTGTGTTGATTAAATCAGGGTCTTTGGGACAGCCGTCTTCTCAGGTCTTTGTCGTTAAATCACAGTCACTGCCCTGGAGGTAAATGTGCACCCCCAGGTCCCCAGCTTGCCCCTTGGAGTATGTGGGCTGTGCAGATGGAAAAGCACATTTCCCTCCATTCTCGTGTGGGAGGAGCAGGCAAGGTAGGCCAGAGAACAAGCACAGTGATGTCCTCCTCACTCATCCCACAAAAAAACCTCTGAACCATTCTGGATGGAAAATAAAGCGTTTTGCATGTTAGTGGAGGCAGGCCTGGGAAGTAGCAGGGAAATTATTTCTGATGCTGCATAGATGTACCTAAGTAGTTGTATTTCGTTTCTGTCCTCTCTAGGTCTGCATGGTGTAGACAATGGGATTCTAATATTTGACAAGGTTCGGATACCAAGGGAGAACCTGCTGGACAAGTGAGTAGTTTGCTCCTTCACTCAGGTCTGCTGCGTTTGATCTCATTGCTCTCCTGAGCTAGGCCGGGTTCTGGGGGCTCATGGACTGTCTGCCTGGGCATTGCTTTCCTAATCACTCCTATAAGTTGATTGGCAAGAAAAGCTAGAAAAGGTAGCTAAGCGAACGGAAAAAAAAATCTAAATTATCCAGCATGTCGTAGCCCAGACATAATGATTACTACACTTCAGTGTAGACCTTTCCAGACTTTTCTCCATGCCAGTAGATCTAATGAGAGAGAAATCAGGACCAGCAGATGGCATAATGGTTATGTTGCTGGATACCCACATAGCTGACTGTGGTTCAAGTCCTGAACCCAGCAGCTTAAAACTCACGCTGGGCACATGTGCATGCATGCCCAAGGTCCTGAGAGGAGAATGGAGGAGAAGGGATTGTGGTGTGGCTATCTCCCCGGGGAGTGGTTTCTCATTTTCTGTCTCTCTGCCCCTCTCTCTCCCTCTGGTGAGTGCATGTGTCCTATAGCAAAAATCTCTTAAAAAAAAGAGAGAGAGAAATGTCAGATTTTATCCAATGACATCCCCTTATAATAGATACTATTTAAAATAATTTGTAATTTCCATTTAGCATTTTAACATTATACATCAAATGTTTCTATGCAATAACAGACTCACATAGGCATTATCATTTTAATAGTAATGTAATAGACTGTTGCATAAATAGCTAATAAGTTGTGTAATCAGTCTGTCATTGTTGGGTAGTTGGTTTGCTTCCCTTTAAAAATGTTTAATATAGTTTAATGTATTTTAATAGCAAACTTATGGAACAGCACAGAAGACAGATGGCATTAAAAGTATGTACTTGCATGTAGGACAACTCAGTTAGAAATGTACAGTGAATGAATGGAGCCTACCATAAGATAAAAATGCTACAAACACAGTTTAGTTGCCATCGGTAAGAAATTTACTTGTTTTAAAAAAATCCAATGCTGGCATAGTCCATAAAAATTTAACAGGTTTATTTATAACTGTTATAAAGTTGAACTGCTCAAACTTGTTCACTGAAACATTCTGACTTGCATTAATGCTTTACATCCCACATTTATATTAAACATCCACACATAAATGAAAATGGAAAAACTGCCAATACCTTCTGTCCTCTATTTTCCACTTGCAGTTATATCCTTAGGCACCTTTTGACCCCACAGGGGAAAACAATCTAGTGTTCAGAACTACCAATATCAGGAAGAAGAGGGAAAACAGATTTTTTTCTTTTTCTTTTTCTTTCTTTCTTTTTTTTTTTTTTTGAGAATGAAATGTTTCTAAGCATAGTGGATTCTTGAGCACGTGCTCCATGTCTGCGGCGTACTAGCTGGATGCCTTTTGGCATAATTCCTACACCATTGGTGTGGAGAGCACACAGGTTGCTATCTCCAGAGAGGCCAACCAGGTAGGCCTCACCTGCCGCCTGCAAAGCACCAGTAGCTGTGCTCTGGAAGCGCAGATCTGTTTTGAAGTCCTGAGCAATTTCTCACACCAGACGCTGGAAAGGAAGTTTGCAGATCAGAAGTTCAGTGGACTTCTGATAACGTCTGATTTCACCAAGTGCCACAGTACAGGACCTGTAACGAGGTGGTCTCTTCACCCCTCCAGTAGAGGGCGCATGCTTGCAAGTGGCTTTTGTAGCCCATTGCCTCCTGGGTGGGTGCTTTACTACTGGTGGATTTGCCCGCTGTCTGCTTTGTATGAGCCATGGTGTAGAGACCTCCTCACTTATCTGCCTTCTCCTTTGGCTGGAGCTTGGCAAGCTAGAGATGGCACTGGTGTTGGAAAGAGACAACAGTGTGGTGGCAGCTGCACCCCATTTTTTTTTTTTAATTGGCAGAGGGCACATGTACTTACCAAAGAGAGAGAGAGAGAGACAGAGAGCACCTCCACTGGGGTGTGGGTCATGCTGCAGCCCCTTGTCCTCCATTTCTCTATCCTGTCAGGATTTTGGGAGTGGACACACATGCATGGAATATTTTTCTTTCTTTTAAGTTTTTGCCATAGGGCACATGCACTTGCTGGAGATAGACAGACAAAGGGAAAGTGAGAAATCACACCCCCCCTTCCCTATGCCCCACCCAGAGTATAGCCATGCTGCAATTCCTTCTCTTCTATTCTCCTTTTTTCGGTCTTTGTCCACACACACACACACACACACACACACACACATGCACCTAGAGTGATTTTCAAGCTGCCAGGTTTGGGACTTGAAACATGATCAGCCATGTGGGAGTCCAGTGCCTTAGCCATCATGCTACCTTCTGGCCCTGCTGGCATGTTTTTCAAGATTCCAGGGTTAGGATTTGAGCTGTAGTCAACGACGTGAGATCCAGCTCCAAATACACAGGGCTTAGCTGCCTTAGTTAAAGATATGCTAAAAAGCCTACCCATTTTTGCTCTTATTAACTGATTAGTGCTATGCCTCTTTGTGGGTGGCAGGTGTTAAGCCACCTCTTTTCCTCTGGGGAGGCTGTTGTAACCACTACTGTTTGGATGGGTAATTTTTGAAGTGCTTACATCCTTTCCCAGTATTTCACAATGAGGTCAAGGTGGGCTCAACAATAGGGCAAAGGTTGCTTTCTCAGGTGTGTTCTTAGGGTAGAGCCCTAGGGGTTAATGATGCTCTTTGCAGAGGCTAAAATATGCCAATTACCTTTACTTTTCTCAGCAGAGTTTCATATATCCAATAAAAATCCTAAGCCACAGTCATACCCAAATCTGACAAAGCCTGCAATCAGGGTCTTTGTAAACAACTGTCTCTCTACCTTCCTGTGGATTTTCCTTGAATAGTCCTTTTAGTTGCCTGCAAGATCTTGCCAAAGATTGTAGGTGCCTAAGGTTTACAAACTTTAAATGGGACACAGATTTAAAAATGGACCCTCCTATGAATTGGTAGAAAGAAAAACAGAAACAACAAAAGCATCTGCAGTTAGCCTGGTGGGTGCTGATCTCCTGTCACCTCAGGAGGCCTTAAGGCCCATAACAGCAGGTCTGAGGACCACGAACCCTCTCCGGAGGTGTCTGTTCAGTTCCTGGTTACTTATCAGTATTACTTCACTCTGTGGAAGGGGAAGAGGGAGGAAAGCCATAGATGAGGAGAGCCTGTATCTCACCACATAATGAGATCTGAGCAACCTGGCCAGTCCTTTGCCAGAAGCTGGACCAACAAGTTAAGCATTCATCCAAATGCACTAGAGATTAGGAAGTCAGATTTGACAAGAAAGAAAAATGATAATGGCCTACATTGTTTGTAGACGATATGAGGATATATAGTGTTTCTTTGATAAGCAAGATTTGATTTTAACATCATACCGTTGGCGTTTAAACTTGGCTCTCCCCTTGAACCTCCCACCTATACTGCTGGGACAACTGGACATCTATATACAAGCATGAAGCTTGAAGTTGAACTCCTACCTTACACTATGTGCAAAATTAATTCAAAATGTATCACAGGCCTAAATGTAAGAACTAAATCTACACAACTTGTAGAAGAAAACCTTATGTAAACATTTATAGCTTTTGTTTAGGCATTAATTTATTAATCATGATACATAAAACTCCACCAACCAAAGGAAAAAAAGCTGGACTTCTTCAAAATTAAAACAAACAAACATGGTGCATCAAAGTACACTATGAAGAAAGTGAAAAACAACCCACAGAGTGGGAAAATATATTTGTAAGTCATATATAACATAAGAGTGTAGCATCCAGAATCTCTAAAGAACTATTACAGCTCAATAATAATGAGACACAGGAACCACTAGTTAGCGTAATGGCTATGTCGCTGAACTCCCATGTAGTCAACTGCGGTTCAAGTCCTGGACCTGGTGGCTTAAACTCACACTGGGCGCGTGTGCGTGCATGCCCAAGTTCCTGAGAGGAGAATGGAGTAGAAGGGATTGCGGTATGGCCATCCTCTCTGGGAGGTGATTTCTTTCTTTCTGTCTCTCTGGTGAGCGCATGCACCCTATAGCAAAAACCTCTCCAATAATAATAATAATAATAATAATAATAATAATAATAATGAGACACATAGACCATTAAACAATGAGTAAAAGATATTTTTCTAAAGAGGATATACAAATGGTTAATGAGCACATAAAAAGATGCCTATCAAAATCACAATGAAATACCACTCACTCTTCATTCACTAAGATAAGATAGCTGAGATAAAAGAGACAGACAATAGCTAGTGTTGATGAGGTTGTGGAGAACTTAGAACCATCATACATTGCTGGGGGGAATGTAAATGGTGTCTCTGATTTAGAAAAGTTTGGAAGTTTTCAAAAAATGCTTCAAGTCTTCAAAAATTTACAGTTATCATTTAACTCAGCAATTCTACTCCTAGGTATGTATGAAAACACTGTCCACAGAGAACTGAAAATCTATGTCCATTCAAAAACTATACACAAATGTTCACAGCATAATTATTTATAATAATCAAAAAAGTGGAAGCAACCTAAATGTCCATCAATTGATGAATGGATAAGGAAAATGTGGTATATCCATGTAATGAAATATTATTCAGCTATAAAAAGAAACAAAGTAGAGACATGCTATAGCATAGATGAACCTTGAAACATTATGCTAAGTGAAAGAAGCCAGATGCAAAAGACCACATATTGTGTGATCCCATCTATGTAATAGCCCAGAATAGACAAGTCATAGAAATAGAAAGTAGATTTGTGGTTTCTGGGGTCTGAAAGTAGGGAGTGACTGCTGAAAGTATGGATGATGAAATGTTCTGGAATTGGATAGACATGATGGTTGTCAAAAACAACTTTGTGGGGAACCAGCAGTTAGCATAATGGCTATGTTGCTGGACTCCCACGAAGTCGACCGCTGTTCACGTCCCGGACCCGGTGGCTTAAAACTCATGCCGGGCGCGTGTGCGTGTGTGCCCAAGATCCCGAGAGGAGAATGGAGGAGAAGGAATTGCAGCGTGACCATCCCCCCCTGGGGGGTGATTTCTCGCTTTCTGTCTCTATGTCTCTCTCTGTCTGTCTGGCGAGCACACGCGCCCTATAGTGAAAAACCTCTCCAAAAAAAAAAAAAAAAAAGCAATTTTTGAATATACTAAAAACTATAGAATTGTCTTCATTTTACAGCATTGAATTTTATGGTATTGAATTATAACTTAGTAGTAAGAAGATGGGGCAGCCTGTGGTCTGCAGACTTAGGCTTTGGTATTGGTTTAGTGGCAGTGAGCCTCATGCCTCTTTCTCTGGGGCCACTGCTGAGCTGCGGGTTGGTAGTGGCAGGAATCCTGTTCTGACTCCTGAGTTGAACTCTTCTCAGCCTCCCTGGAGAGGCATTCTCCCCACCCTGCTCAGCTCTTTGTCTCATAGGGAGGTCTTAGATTGTGGAAATCTGTACTCTTTCC